AAACAAGCTTGGTTACATCTTTTATCTACACGGAAACAGCTTGGTTACATCCTTTATCTACACGGAAATAAACTTGGTTACATCCGTTATCTACACGGAAACAAGCTCACTCTTTACGTATATGGTAGTAACTAGCTTAATGTGACAGTAAGCTTACGAAACTAATCTGATTCTTCTGTGAGAATTCTGTTTTTATTTGGTTAAAGTTTTGTTTATTGTTCATTTATTATTCCTTCTATCGTTAGTTTATCTACGAATGTTTAGTTACATTTAAAACTCTAACTCACCTTCTAGATGATCACGTTTATTTTGAGTTTTTTTATTTGTCTGGTTCTTTTTTTATTTCCTGACTCCTTTATTTATTGAAATACTTATTAACCTGGATTTATTTATTCATTAACGTTAGTTTCAAGTCCTGACCAGGCACATATTTATTTACTGTGTTTTAGTAAGTTATCAACTTTGTGTTTCAATAGTTTGAAAGTCACACTTTGTACTTCCGTGGTTGTCGAAGTATAATACATTTGTGTTGTTTTGTGTTCAACCCTGGTTGTAGAGACGAGTTACTGTTGTAGTTTAAACATCTCATATTTAACATTTCTTTCAGACAAATGTAGGTCCAGTCCTTCTCGCTATAAATTCTTACAAGGACGTGGGGAATCCTCTCACACTTAGTAGTGCTTCCTCAAGGTGTCCACAGTTACTTCGTGTGGTCCACGAGGCCGTCCGTCAACAGTCAGAGACAGGCTATCCTCAGGCCATCATTCTTGGGTAATCAACAAAACAACGAAGTAATTTGTTACAATGTAAACGCATATACTCGAATATGACCAGGTCTTCCGAACAAGAAACATTCCATTTCGCTATAAAATGCTTGGCAAACGTTTCGTTTTGGTAAAGAATGTTTAGAAAATGTTTCGTTCTGTTATAGAATGCTCAACAAACGCATTTGCTTGATAAAGATTATCCTTTTTTTACCAAACCAAGCGATTGTGAGCATTATTGATCAAAATTAAGCGTTTGTTCAGTATTATTTATGAAAGTGAATCGCTTCCTGAACGCTTTCTCTCAAAACAAAGCACTTATTGAGAAAACTTTAAGTAAACCAAAAACATTTTTTTACCCAAACCAGGGAATTTTTTGCTTAAAACCAAGAGTTTGTTAAGCATTATTGATCAAGGCAATCGCTTGCTGAATATTTTCTAACAAAAAGAACTGCTTATTGGGCATTTTTTACAAAACAATTGTTTGTTCAGCAATCTTTACCTAAACGAAACAACTACTGAGATTGAACATTATTTATAGAAAAATAAACAATAGTTAAGCCTTTTTAGCAAAACCAAACAATTGTTGAACATTCTTTATAGAAAATAAACAATAGTTAAGCCTTTTTACCAAAACCAAACAATTGTTGAACATTCTTTATAGAAAATAAACAATAGTTAAGCCTTTTTTACCAAAACCAAACAATTGTTGAACATCTCTAAATTGTTTGGTTTTGGTAAAAAGGCTTAACTATTGTTTATTTTTCTATAAAGAATGTTCAACAATTGTTTGGTTTTGGTAAAAAGGCTTAACTATTGTTTATTTTCTATAAAGAATGTTCAACAATTGTTTGGTTTTGGTGAAAAGGCTTAACTATTGTTTATTTTCTATAAAGAATGTTCAACAATTGTTTGGTTTTAGCGAAAAGGCTTAACTAGTGTTTATTTTCTATAAAGAATGTTCAACAATTGTTTGGTTTTGGTAAAAAGGCTTAACTAGTGTTTATTTTTCTATAAATATTGCTCATTCTTGGGAATGAGTTGTCATCGTCTTAACTTTTCGCGTGACTAATAAAGAATTTTGTGTAAAATATAAATAACACATAGGTCTTGATGTTTAGTCTATACTCTTGTCCTGAAGACAACTAAGTTTCCACCCCTAAAGTGTACTAATATTATAAAGAATTTCAAATAAAATGAAGATTTGTGACGTTTCCAAGACTTATTGTAATTTTCTTCAAGTTAGCCATAAATTTTCTCTGCCCTCAATAAAGAAAAAAAACAAAAACAACCAACAAAAGTGTTGCAGATCTTGTGAAAAATATTCAAGAACAAATATTAATAACTGCCAAAAGATGGCGTTTAAAAACATGTTTTCTTCATAATAATGATAATTATTGCCATTATAGCCAAAAGAAAATATTCAGTTTTCAATCCTATCACATTTGCATAAAAAACAAAAATAGAAACCGAAAATTATACAGTTTTACAATTTATTCTATAAAGGTTATGCTTTTGATGATTTATTTAATGAATTTATTCTTGTTTGTACGAACAAAATTTTCTGTTTCAATTCTACAGAGGAGAAAGCGGAAGCGGAAAGACGTATTCATCTATGGTATTACTACGTCAGTTCTTTGACGTAGCCGGAGGAGGGTCAGAAACAGACGCCTACAAGCATATGGCGGCTGCTCTAACCGTGCTTCGGTCGCTTGGCAGCGCCAAGACAACGTCCAACTCAGAATCTAGTCGTTTTGTGAGTACTGAACCTGCTAGCCTTTATCTTTCGTTATACCTTACTCCCGGGCTTCATGTATACATGACTTAAACCACAGTTCGGAATTCACTGATTGGCTAAAAGTTGAATGTCATAAACAACAATAAATGGGACTTGATTGTTATTATTTTGCTACGCGATTTTTGACATGTTATATACACTACTGCTCTAGCCTGTATGGTTATTTGGAAGTTATGTAAAACAAGCTGAGATACCCGTCCTTTGTCCGGGTTGCGAACTTTAAACAAATGTGGGAGTGAATGCTATGATGAATAATACAAGAATATTAACTTTCACTCAATTTATTTATAACATAACACAGTATTTATTATGACCTCACCAAAAAGGTTTGTATAAGCTTCAAGAACTCACTATGTATATACTTAAAACATTGTTTACACTGTGTGATGGTCAGGGTGACTTTGTAGGAAGAGGTAGCGGATAAAGTAGTGGCGTTATGGGTGCTTTCTGTTACCCGCTTTCGACACCCAGCTCTTAATGTCCTTCCACAGCGTTTCATGTGATTAATTAATAGACGGACATTGGCCGCAGAAGTGTCTTACGGGCCGAAGTTGAAAGGTCACGGGTCCAAGTAGGAAGTGGTATAACTCAAGAAACAGGTCTTCATATCAGCCTTATGGTGGCTGTTGGAGTAGAAACTTCAGCTGAGTTTATGTATTATCGCAATAGTGGCGGCAATTTTTTTCCATTGCATTCCTACGTAGAGAGTGCGCGTGTTTGTGTTATACAAAATTTAATATGTGTGTGTGTGTGTTTTCTTATAGCAAAGGCACATCGAGCTATCTGCTGTGTCGACCAACCGGAATCTAACCCCCGATTTAACGTTGTAAATCGGAAGACTTATTGCTGTCCCACCGGGGACGGAAAATATTTAATATTTGTTTTTTGTTTGATGTAAGGACGTGGCGCCATCTATGAATATAGTTAATGTTAACTTACCTCAAAGATAATAAATGCTCAATAACAGCAGTAATAGGGTGGAGGAGGTTGTGAACCCCCACTAACATGCCCATTGTTCCAGACTATTATCCCACAAACTTTGGTTTCAAATTGGCCCAATGACGTAGGAGTACTTAGATAAGGGATAAACAGACAGACACACACAGATTTTTGTGCTTTATGTATATAAGATATTGAAATTCAAATGTAGCTGATTTCTACCACTATAATTCGCCATTTTAAATATAAATAAAACTAAAAATAGGGAGATGTATCAAACGATCCAAGGCATAACAACGAATAAAAACCGCCTTTGTATTTGATAAGACTTATTAGCTGAATACGCCTTGGCATCACACTAACAATGGAAAATAAACCATGTAACTGGATAAACTGATCACTTTATCAAGTGATCGTATTCGTGACAACCATTACTCGGAGTGGTTGTTAGTCTAGGTGGGATGACATGTTTTGTAGCAATCTCCCAACAATATAGTTGTAAACATGGTGTTTACCAAGTCTTATCAGGTGAAGTTTTCAAAATGAAACGACCTGTATGGGGTAATAGTACTAAATAGGCTTGCTCTGGGACCGCAAGATCCTTCCCAGTAACTAGCTTATGACAAGTTGGATTAGCAGTGACTTTTACACTATTGCTTGTTGTTTTCTTGTCTCAAGCATTTTATTTGTCGACTCATTACTACAGCATAATGTTTGCATTTGTATATTCTTAAAGATCTTCTCTCTATCTTTTATATGTAATTTATACGTAAAGTTTATTAGGACATAAATAATTCTGATCCATTTTTTATATGTAATTTATATGTAAAGTATATTATGACATGAATAACTCTGATCTGTTTTTATATGTAATGTATACGTAAAGTTTATTATGACATAAATAATTCGGATCCATTTTTTATATGTAATTTATATGTAAAGTATATTATGACATGAATAACTCTGATCTGTTTTTATATGTAATTTATACGTAAAGTTTATTATGACATAAGTAATTCTGATCCGTTAAAATCACTCAGCTTCATTCTTGCTGTTTCTTCATTGAAATATACATCATATGATGTAGTAAATATAGGTTTATTAAAGACTTTAATCATCAGGTAATTATTTCTAAACTTTTGATCTTGATATACCGCCATAATTACTCAGTCAGGTTATCCAATTATTGTATTAACTCAGGTTAAAAGAGTTAACTTAAAAACAATAAGATTTTTTGTGATTCCAGCTAACAACATTTGATTTTCTCTGTATATTTCTCAGGGTCATTTTATCGAAATTCAGGTCACAGATGGCGCCCTCTATCGGACTAAAATGCATTGTTATTTTCTTGATCAGGTAGGAAAGCATAACTGTAAGTCGTATTAAATAAACAGTATTTATAAATCTATATAATCGTTACCGTGTTGTATCATCCCCACATTCTGTCAGCACATTCTGGTCTTATGAATATTTATTTAGGATTGATTGGAAAAAAGAGGCTTAATTTTTTGTTCAACGATAGCTTTGACTCCTTATAAGACCTGAGATCTAATTTGTCATCAATAACAAGGAACTGTTGTCATGTCAGGAATGCGTTAAATTCTTATCGTAACACACGCTTAGGCTTAACAAGACACTTTAAATACTATTTCGCCCTTAAAAACCACAAAACTGAAAATTTGTATGGCCCCCAATGAACTTCCGTACCACATTTGTAGAAGATCCCAGTAATAAGCTACAATACTTTTTTTACAATTACATATAAAGGAAGTAACTTTTCATGTCCTAAGATAACCTTTCATTAATCATGAATTTACGTACTCCAGCTAGTTAATAATGTAATGATAAATATTAACGTAGTAATAAATAGTGTGTAATAAAACTGTCATAAAAAAAACAAACAAATTTTATATTTCCAAGATCACTGTTTTTATAATCTATACTCGGGTAAGGGAGAAAATCCCTGGAAAATATTTATTTTTAGGAGGGGGTTCGCGAGATTTGGCAATTTTTACGGAAGGTGGTCACGTGATGTTAAAGTTTGGAAACCTCTGAGTTAGTTCATTCTGTTACGTCTCCGTTTGTTAATTGATTTTCC